ACATGTACCACTTTACCTGTGTATTGTAACACTTACCGTTGACTTTAATTGATCTCATCACAACTTCTGTTGTTTTATCAGTATTACACGAGGGGTTCAGTGAATAACATGTACCACTTTACCTGTGTATTGTAACACTTACCGTTGACTTTAATTGATCTCACCACAACTTCTGTTGTTCTATCAGTATTATACGAGGGGTTCAGTGAATAACATGTACCCCTTTACCTGTGTATCGTAACACTTACCGTTGACTTTAATTGATCTCATCACAACTTTTGTTTTAAAATTCGTGATTACATAAATGAAAAATCAGTTCTCATTCTAATCAATATTTTCCTTATTTCTTCTCTTTGAATTTTATCAGTCTGTTTTCTTCAGAATTTTAAAGTTGATTATAATCCTAACTATAAACAACACATAACAATAATGTCAGTTATCACACCACAGTGGGGATGTGTTGTAAGAAATATATGATATTCCCATAAAAGAAACAGTATAATCATTGTGTCACACAATGTGATCACCCTCTTCACAGTGAAATATAACTTGGTTTATTCAATACCCAAAATATATGTACAATTTACAATGTAATCATCCTCTTCACAGTGAAATATAACTTGGTTTATTCAATACCCAAAACATTAAGTACAATTTACAATGTAATCATCCTCTTCACAGTGAAATATAACTTGGTTTATTCAATACCAAAAACATTAAGTACAATTTACAATGTAATCACCCTCTTCACAGTGAAATATAACTTGGTTTATTCAATACCAAAACATTAAGTACAATTTACAATGTAATCACCCTCTTCACAGTGAAATATAACTTGGTTTATTCAATACCCAAAACATTAAGTACAATTTACAATGTAATCACCCTCCTCACAGTGAAATATAACTGGTTTTATTCAATACCCCAAAAATTAAGTACAATATTTTTATAATGAGTTCTATCAGTTTAAAAAAGAAATTATGTTTTAAAATATGTTACATAAACAAATAGTGCACAGGAATTAATAAGCTAGTTGCATGATGAAACTGCACAAATAGAAATATATTTGAAAATATAAAGCTACTGAAAAAGAATGACTCCAAAATGAGATGGAAGGTCCGATCCCAATGGATGAAATTAAGAAAATGTCTGGAGAATAGGGTGATCATGATGTGTAGAAAGGTATCCAGAAAGGTCAACTGCAGTCTGGGTGAAATGAAACCCTCCATATAGAACCAAGGAATGATAAAAAACAAGGTTGAAAGATGACAGGTCAATAACCAGAAGCCAGTCTAGTCTTCTTGGAGACACTAAAAAAGTAAGAGTAACAACCAGATCTAAAGCTAAATACCCTCTGTATGGCTTTCTTGGCCAAAAAGATGAAACCACATCCTTGAAACACCAAGCATTAAGGAAAGGATACATAGATGAGGAGAAGCAGTAAGATAGGCTATGAGTGATAAATCTGAATAACCCAACTGTCAGAGGAAAATGGAGACCGAAGGCTGGCAAAGAGAGACAGATGGGCCACCACAAGGCCAAACGTGACAGGGTTGTCACCAATGAGATGAACAATGACCCTGAAATAGGTAAGTAGGAGTACAGGAAGTAGGAATGTGAAAAAGAAACATGGATTCAGCAGGCATAGGAACAGGAGCAGAATGGTAAGGTTAGGAAAGATGAGATACCATTGTAAACAATGATAACTGATGCCAGGCTGCCCCAGCGAGTCAGGAACACCAGCAAAGACCTCAGAGAAAAAAAATTGGAGTCCAGCAAAAATCACAGAGATATGTGTGACAGAGGCCTACATAACTGGGATAGCATCTCATGCCAACAGCAGATAAACCAAGTAAATAGGGATAGAGCAGAAGTATGGGTCAATGTGATGAAAAGAAGAGAATAAACTCTCCAGAAAAACCCTCTCCTAAGCATAATGAAGTGCATCAGTCATATGGTGAAGTAACACATTAGGGTAATAAAATAGGAATAGGCAAGCTCCCACAGTAACATTTGATGGGTTTGATATTTGTAAAGTTAGTTTAAGCCATACAGCAGACTTGTACCTATATATATATACGTTTTTCAGTATTTAGCTACAGGGTGGGTATCTAGAGACTTTAAGTAAAGCTGCTGACAAACCTGGTGACTTTTATTATAATTCAAAATTAAACTTGTAAATTCATATATACATATATATATGCTGAATAAATGAAGAAAGAATTACTTCTCATTTTTCGGGGGGGGGGTCAGTGAATGAGGAGGACAAGGCACGTTAGTATGGGTGAGCGGGTGTTTGAGATACGAGTCTGCAATGACCCTAATGTCAGATGAAGGAAAGACAAAATAGTCTTAAGCATAGGCATACAGGGGACTTTTTTAGGCAGGGGGGGGGGCTGTACAATTTTGTCCAAAATGAGGCTATGAGTAAGAAACTTCTTCTATCAGTTTTTCTTGAATGAAGGTAAAAATTACCAGAATCATTATATTTTCTGCTTCTCATTTTGTCCGAATGAAAACTGAAAATTTGCCTGAATGGCCACAGGTGCCTCGTACACCTATGGTCTTAAGTATGGGATTTATGTAGTAAAGCACTGGAAAAATCAAAAGACAAAGTTGAATAGATAAAGAAAAAAACATATATGCAAAATCATATCAAAGGAGGGATTAAAAGGGTGAAGATTTTCCTCTACAGGTAAAGCTGTGACTAGAGCAAACCCTCCTGGGGAACATACCCCCTCAAACTGATCATCATCCTGATCATGCTCAAACTGGGAACATCAGCTGAATAGATGGTAGGAGGCCAGTGTACACGAAAAAAAATAAACCCACAACACGTTAAACAATGGTTGTCAGGTCTTCCTCTGACAATGAGTCCCCAGTAGATACAGTTCCCACATTAGGAACATTGTAACTATAACAGGATGAAAGGGAAATTACTGCCTCTTGAGAATTCACAATAGGTGAGCAGGAAAAAAATAATTTTTCTTTACTTATAAAAGAAAGTAGCAAAAGTTAAATGAAATTTAAGTTTCAAAAACAATTGTAATTGATTAACAATATTAAAACATGTCCATTTGGGGGGGGGGGGTGGATCTTATGGACGTATTTAAGATTGTAAAGGGAATTGACAGTGTTGATGCATCATCTTCTTTCATATTTAACAATGAGAATAGTAGGACTAAGGGACACAAGTATAAATTTTGGCAAGGTAAGAGTCATCTTTAGCTAAGACAGTTTTACTTTTCTAACAGGGTGGTTGGCCTTTGGAATGGGTTGCCTTCAGATGTTGTAGAGTTTAAGTTTGTTTGTTTGAAGTTAAGCACAAAGCTACACAATGGGCTATCTGTGCTCTGCCCACCACAGGTATCAAAACCCGGTTTCTAGCGTTATAAGTCCACAGACTTACCGCTGTGCCACTGGGAGGCAAGAGTTTAAGAAAAAGCTTGATAAGTTTATGAATGATAAGGGCTGGCTTTAAGATTTTTTTTTATATTATTATAATTCAGTTTAGAGGATGGAACAACCGAGATGGACCAATAGATCTCAGGTTGTCCCAAAACATTACGTTATGTTATTCTAAACAATGCCAAGGAAGAGAATAACTTATTTCGAGCATATGTGTTTAAGAGGAGTTACTGTGCAAGAAAGTTGTATCATACTCTTATTGGTGGAGGGCTACCATTGCATGATGACATCATCATGCACTAGCGCAGTTCATGTTAAACATGTGATTTTGAAGTGGGAGTTAGCTAAAGGCTAGTGGCATTCTGGGTGAAAAGGTAAGGTATAGTCTCCGAATTAAAAATTTAGATAGATTCTTATAAAATAGTACAATATTTAAAATAAGCTCTGATTAGTTCTTTACTAACTTTATACTAAAGATGATCTATAATGTAATATAATTTTTTCTTCTTTAATAATGGTTAACAGTTGCTAACAAAGAAAATGAAAGATGAGAAGGTTCTTACCTTTGCTAACCGCAAGGCCACTTTCCAACATAATCTTTGCTTTTCACTCTCGCAACAAAACCATTTCAGGTCACTTCTTGTTTTCACTATGCTTCGTTTTGGCTACGAACACATAAATAAACCAATGAAGCTAGTCAAGTCAATGAGCAGAAGTTTATGCTTTTAAAAGAATATACCGTATTGTCCCTAATTAGAGCCCCCCCAGTATTTTTTACAAAGCTTACCTTATGTGACAACAGTAATAATCCAACATATAATTCATATTTATTATCGTAATTTTGATTTGAAAAAACAAACATACACACACTTATTAGCACTGAAATCAACAAATCACATCTGAAAAATTAGTGCCCCCTCCCTTTTGCAGCTTGCAATGCCCCCCAGGGGCATTAATTTGGGGCAGTATGGTATATAAAACACTACAAATAGGAATAACTTAGTCTGTGAAACAAACTAGGGTTTTACAGGTAATACTGAATCCTCTCCTAACGATTATTACAGAATGAAAAATAAAAACAGTTTTATCAATTTGCTAATATGATTGTGTTTGTTAATTTATGCTTAACTGTGTTGAAAATGAGATGTTTTAGAGAAACGTTACTTGTTTAAAAGTAGTTGCTGATATACCTTTAAACAGAAACAAAATTTAGTTGGAGCTCCAATACAGTTTCCTTCTACTGGCACATAAATATCACAGCTTTGAAGATCTACGAATGGATGCATCTGTCGAGGTACCTGAAATATTCAGAAGATTAATGAAATCTAAATTTGACTTATGAAGCAGAGGTTTTCTTTTCATAGGGCAAGGACATAAGTTTCTACCTAGATTTTTTTGTTACAAATTTGAGGGTTTTATTTCTAGATAATAGCTTTTTTGAATTTTTTGGTGGCATATATATATAAAAGAATCTTGTGGAATATGACCAGACAGTATTTATATGCTCTGTGCTACATCAGTCTCTAAATACATCCCCCTCTCCCAGAAATAATCCAGAAAGAAAACCCCTCTGAATTATATGAAACTACAAGATTTCAGTGATACTCACAGTACAGCTGTTAAACTCTACACTTTGTAGTTAGCACTTTAAGTTATCCAGAATGTTAAATGAGCTGATACACAGCATTTCATCTTCATCCTATATAAACTAAACTTTCATGAAATAAGTTTTAGCTTTTATTCAGAATTAATACATGCACATCTTCTATATAAACGACAGAAGAAGAAGATATTTGTGTATTGATGACACAATGTGGTAACAAAACATCATTGAAGAAGAGAGTATGTGTGTGTGTGTGTATTTGTTAATCATATACATTTGTTAATAATTGCTATAGAAATGTAGAGAAAAACTTGAATGAGTTACACTTATTTGTTTCCAGAACATGCTTCATACTGGTGACTCCGTGCCTATAGTTCATAGTTACTTATGGTTAAAAGATCCAAGCCGGCACTCGTGGAAGAGGTTTTTCTTTTGTCTTAAAGAAAATGCATTGAATATTTCTCTGTTTGCAGAGGAAGAGGTAACTTGAGATGTTTTTTTTAATATTCTGGTAGTATTGTTATTTCCTTGTATCAGACACCACCACGTGTTTTCTCTATGTAACAGACAGTATCACTGGTTGTCTCTATGTATCAGACATTACCATTGGTTGCCTCTATGTATCAGACAGTATCACTGGTTGTCTCAATGTATCAGACAGTACCATGGATTGTCTCAATGTATCAGACAGTACCATGGATTGTCTCAATGTATCAGACAGTACCATGGATTGTCTCTATGTATCAGAAAGTACCATGGATTGTCTCTATGTATCAGATAGTACCATGGATTGTCTCAATGTATCAGACAGTACTATGGATTGTCTCAATGTATCAGACAGTACCACTGGTTGTCTCAATGTATCAGAGAATATCACTGGTTGTCTCAATGTATCAGACAGTACCATGGATTGTCTCTATGTATCAGACAGTACCATGGATTGTCTCAATGTATCAGATAGTACCATGGATTGTCTCAATGTATTAAACATTACCATTGGTTGCCTCTATGTATCAGACATTACCATTGGTTGCCTCTATGTATCAGACATTACCATTGGTTGCCTCTATGTATCAGACATTACCA